TATTTTATTTCATTATTATTATTTTATTAAGTATTTATATAATTATTGATATTAATTTTGTAATTAATAGTGAGTGATAATTTTCTTGATCTTGACCGAACAAATGTTATAAAATCATCAGGAAAATATAACTCTATCCGTAAATTTGTCCATCACTTACCTCGTGATTTTGTTGTATCCTTTTGTTCCTTTTGGGTAAAACGAATTGTTTCATCAACGATATTCTGTATAATTTTACTGGTAGAAAAATTTTCAAAACTGTCTATGTGTTTAGATACTTGTTTCAAAAGACCCACTATACATCCCGAAGAGAGATTGTCAATTTTATTAGTACAACCTCTTCAATCAGTGTAGCAATTCGGTTTCAATAAATTCTTTTTTTTTTCGCGAAACATACTTTTCTAACGATTAAATACGAATACATCCAAACAAAAATCTAACTAATGTCATTGGTTCAACCCAATTTATTATAGGTGAGGCCTATAATTTTATAAATCTACTACATAGCACTAGAAAATAAGTAGTTACTACTAGTTAGCACTAAGTATCTAGTAGTTTTCCATACAACTTGGAGTGCGACAAGGTTGCGTCTTATCACCGCTATTATTTAATCTGTGTTCGGAATTTATATTCAGACGGTGCAGACAACGCCGCATTAATCGCCGAGACAGAAGACGAGCTCCAAAGATTAACACATATCTTCAATACAACAGCTAAGAAATACAATATGATAATATCAGCAGAAAAAACCAAACGTATGACAACATCTTAATACCCACTACGGTGTAAAATCGAAATCGATGGGAAAATAATAAAGCAGTAAGCAAGGTTTAGATATCTGGGAATAGATATAATTAGTTACGGAGATGTTGAAGAAGAAGTATGACAACAAAGCTTAAAAGCAAGTAAAGCGGTGGGATCTCTTAATGATACAATCTGGAAGAACAAACACCTAAGACAAGACACAAAAACAAGAATCTATAAAGCAGCAATTAGACCTATATTAACATACACGTCCGAGACAAGACCTGACACATCTAAAACGAGACGACTACTATAAACAACAGAGATGAAAATACTCTAACGAATATCAGGGAAAAGTCTGCTGGATAGGGAGAGAAGCGAAAACATAAGAAGAGCATGCAATATAGAAGATATAATGGATGGGTGACAAAACGAAAACAGGAGTGGAACGAACATATCAGTAGAATGGCAGAGGATACAATAGTACGAATAGCACGAGATAAGTCACCAAATGGACGAAGAAGTATTGTCAGACCAAGAAAAAGATGGTGCGACAATCTAAGCAAATTAAGAGGCTAATATTCAAGAAGAAACAGTCTTTAAAACCTACATATAAGAAGGAAGAAGACGAAGAAGGAATTTATATTCAGAAAAGCATTAGACGAGGTTCAAGGTGGAATCAAGATTAACGGAACCAGCATAGACAACATCAGGTACGCTGATGATACCGTCCTAATAGCAAGCAATGCACAAGAACTACAAAATATAATAAATGCGGTAGTTCGTCATAGCGAAATGTTCGGTTTACATCTAAATGTTTCCAAAACTAAAATTCTAGTATTTTCAAAGATACCAACAAACGTACATTTGCATGCCAAGCTACAAATAATAGAACAGGTAACTTCAATAAAATATTTAGGAGCAAACACATAAAGTGCGGCATGATCACCTAATCAGACTCCTGACAGAAAAGAATTTAGATAAACGAGACATCCGACTAATAGCAAATATGTACTACAATCAGAAAGCAGTAGTGAGAGTAGAGAATAATACCACTGAAGAAATTGAAATAAAGCGAGGTGTGAGACAAGGGTGTATACTGTCACCAACCCTGTTTAATCTCTATTCCGAAGACGTAATGAATAGAACACTCTCTGAGCAATCCGTAGGTATTAAAATAAATGGTGTTAGATTAAACAATCTGAGATTTGCCGACGACACCGTTCTGATCGCAGAAACACTTGAAGAGCTACAGACATTGGTGAATAAGATAGCAGACTGCAGCGAAGAATATGGACTATCTTTGAACATAAAGAAAACGAAATTTATGGTAATATCGAAATCAACACAAAATGTCCAAAATTTATATTTACACAATGAAATTATCGATCGAGTTAGCAAATACAAATATTTAGGCACTTTTATAAATGAAGACAACGATAGCTCAGCGGAAATCAAAATAAGAATAGAAAAAGCCAGATCCATATTCACTAAAATGAAGAGAGTGTTCTGCGGAAGAGATTTGAGCCTTGAAATGAAACTTCGCCTGATGAGATGTTACGTACTTTCTGTGCTGTTTTACGGAATGGAGTCATGGACGTTAAAAAAGATTGATATCAAAAAATTAGAGGCATTTGAACTGTGGATGTATCGCAGAATCCTGAGAATATCATGGACCGAGAGAGTCACAAATGTCGAGGTCTTGAGAAGAATGAACAAAGAAAAGGAAGTCATATTTACAATCAAAAAACGAAAACTGCAATACTTGGGCCACATTACAAGAGGCGAAAGATATGAACTGCTTCGAATAATTATGCAAGGGAAAATAGCAGGAAAAAGGTCCATAGGAAGAAGACGAAACTCCTGGCTAAAGAATCTACGGGAATGGTATAGTTGTAGCAACAACGAATTGTTTCGGTCAGCAGTTTCGAAAATACGTATAGCCCTGATGATCGCCAACCTTCGGAACGAAGATGGCACTTGAAGAAGAAGATGCAGTGTACACCAAAAAAAACGGGTGTGGCAGTCCAGTGGGACTGCCGGTAGAAGTTATACTTCTATACTCGCGTTCGCCGTTACAAATTTATATGGGAGTCAATCTGTACAATCATTACACATGCAATGCTATAGGTAAGAGAGCAGAAGGAGAAAAATAATTAGTTATATAGGTATATGGTGCATCGTTTGCTGTATATAAACATTTGACCTGCAATAGGAGTATAGTAAATGAAGGATTGTATCAAAATTTTATTGAAATTATATATTTTATTTAAAGGAGTTGAATGCAAAAAAAATTTTTACACATACTCTGCAGTAAAATTCATTGTTTATTTTATTATTAATATAAAAATTACAATACAATAAACACACTGCAGCATAATTCAATATAATAATACAATATAAATTAAAACACATAACTTACTTTACGAAGATAAAAATAAAAAACCAACAACTCAGGTTATGTTGTAAATTTTCATTTTATTTTAAAATTTAGCATTTTTGCGTATATTACATATATTTAATAAGATTAACGTGAGGTTTTTAAATATTTCAAAAATTAAAAAGGAAATTCATATTGGGATTCGAACTCACAAACACCAGCGTATGAACCAAACACGTAAAGGATTTGCCAATTGGACATGACACTAACAGATTTCAAAATTGACAGTTCTCGGTCAAACAGTGATTATTTTGAGATACAAAAGCCTAACATAATTATAAGTTTCCAAAGCTACCTTTAGATCGCTAACCTTCGAAAGGAGACAGCGCAATAAGAAGAAAAAAACTTGTATACAAGTGAGACGTAGTGATGGCTCGACACGAGAGTACTTATTAACAAGTGCTTCGTATTGGTGTCATGGACCGTAAGTACTTTTATTCAAGTACGCAACCTCGAAAGCAGCTACTTAAAAATCGAGCAGGGAGACATGTAGTCCCTAAAGTAATTAAAATGTATCCATTGTCATCGACCTAGAGTCACAACATAATTAAAATGTAACATTTGGAATGATGTAAATCCATATATGGAGGTCTCACCGATAACTATATTGTTAGCTTCAATTACACAAGGCACTGAGGATGATCTGTTCAGATCGAAAACGTTATGCTAGTACATAAATTTTGACGACACCTTTTTAAAAAGTTTTAAATATTTGTTTTTTATACCACAATACAAGTGTGAAGAAATTCTGTGATTTTTTTAAACGATGGTATACAGCCAACTACAGGGTTTTTCCCATTAATTTTATTGTGATATATAAGACACAGTAGCAGATGTAGTGAATTTGTTACAAAAATTTTTTACTTTTACTGGGTCACTACATATTTTTATTTACCTCGTACTATTTCATTTACTGCATATTATCACCAAACAACACTACTGTCAAAGATAAATTTGATCTCCAAAGATTGCTTTTCAACAATTCCATGCTAAGGGGATTTCTGAGCGGTTTATTTATTTTACGCGGATTAAAGTCTCTGCCGATCGCTGATCTATCATGACAAATTTAAACACTTATTGTGCTTAGTTATGAGACGCAGTTCTAAAAGCGTTATTTGATATAATGTAGATACAAACCTTATCCAAAATGGAATTTTAAATACCATAAATATACTCATCACTATGCAAAAATTTACTTTTCAATAGAGGGGCAGTCTCACGATGATATCCTAAAGTTGTCTCACTATGCCGTAGTATACACATTTTAGGTTATGATTTAGTATTTTATAAAACGTGAATATAAATAGTATATCCATAATCTTACACTCAGAACACCCTCAATGTATATCCAAAAGAACGCATGTAGTATTTTTAGGCAGTGGCAATGGTTTAGTTTGACGAAGTGAAAAGAAATACCTGCATTTTAGGTATGTGCAAATTGTAGTATTTATTAACCATTTTGTTTAAAATAGTTCGTCCGAACTTCGAATTATTCCAATATAGAACGTGGCTTATTTGAGAAAAAAAAAAACGTTACCACTACAACCTCTGCTGTGAGTTCACAAATAAATTCATTCCGCATTAGTTTTATTTCTGATACACCCTGTAGATGTTATTTTTACATCGACCTGATAACAGTGTTGAAGCTACTGTTAGTTGGATCTCGTGTTGCAATCCTTACATCTGATTAATCTACTTTTAAGATTGAAAAACAAACTTATTATTATTCATTATATCTTATCAGCAGTTCTGACCCCCCTCTAGGTTACCAAACGCTAATGGTCAAATTGTCGACGGTTCTTTAGTTTCGTTAGTTAGTGATACAGTGAAAGTGGCGAAGAAAACCTTTGTTTATTTTGAGAAAAATTACAGCGAAGATGCCGGACGTTTCACAAGATCATTTTGAAGTCGATCATCCGCTGGAGCCTCTATTGACTCCGGAAATTATGCGGGCGAGAGGCAATACGTTGACGATGGAAAATCCCTTCTTCACTCAAAGAAACAGGTCCGAGAGTGAATCGGAAGATATCGAGACTAAATATCGATCACCCTCGCGTATTGCCTTATTCAAGAGGGAGATAGGACACAGGTAACTTTTGTATAAATTCTTAAACAAAATTAGTGCAGCGCTATTCTCGAGATCCAAAAAAGTAGGGATTCATCTGCGTCCATTTTATTAGACCTCTTTCAATAAAAGATCATCTATTCATTTTAATGCACAAAAACAGGTCATTTGTCGTAAATAATTTATAGTTAAATACTTTATAATGTAATTAGAACACTATTTTAATCTTTTTCACTTGAATAATTGCTACAGAAAAGTAAATCCTACAAAAATTAATAATTACTAGATTATGTTGAACATTTTCCGGCGAAAATGTCAAATCAAAATTGATGAAAAACACTAAAGCGGTTCAATTTTTTTTGGATGTGAGTAATAAGGGCACTCAATACTTCGTCAGTGGTTAACTCTGTATTTTTTACTCATATGTTTGCTATCTTACACTATTTTACCCCAATGCTCTCCCACACTCTACGGTAGACTTTTCAATCGGTCCGAATGCAGTAGGAGTTTTTGGACGTTTACTGTACAGGTCGTCTTGTGTATTCATATATCTACGCTTTAAATCCAGTTTTTAACAATTGAATATTGGAGAAAGGATTTTAATAACGCCGAATCCATCTTCGCTTTGATTTTTTAATGTTAACGTTCAGGTTGGCATGCCTAATAATTGATGTACCAGATGAATCCGGACGTTTGAGAGTATTTTTATCCACAAAGAAAAAAAGACGCTGTAAATAAAGAAATGGAAAACAAAATTTAATTATTAGCATTATACTAAAAAACAAGGAGGTAATTCCAATATTAGAAAATACTAGTAGGCAGTTACTCTAAAACCGAAATAAATGTTTAAACAAATTCTAAAAAAATCAATCTTTATCTATAGGCGCATGTAAACAGTTTTGACAGGACACGGTTTGCAGCTATGCAAATTGCTTATTTATTTATATGCTTATTTATTTATAACCATTTTTAAACAAATTATAAAAAATTCCTTTTTTGCTTCTAAACCATTTTTTGAATAATCTGGGTTTTTCTAAGACTAGGTCTATCTTATGAGTTTTTCCCAAAATTCTTACTTTCAGCGTAAAATGCAAATAAACGATTAACGAATCGAATTAAAAAAAAACAAAAAATATAAGATAAAAGCTAAATCAATCAGTTTTAAATTGAACAATTCCATTTTTATTTTATTTTTCAAAAATCAGTTTAAAATATGCGTTCTTCTTGATGTGCCTATCCGTTACGAATGTTGGCGATCATCATGGCAATATTTATCTTATCTGCAGCAGCGCGGCAAAGCTGCACAGATGTATTGAACCAGATTCTGAGGTACTTTAACCGAGATGTTCTTCTTCTTCTTGGACCTCGCTTTCCAAATATTTTTCCTTGCAGGATGGCTCGAAGGAGAGTATATCTGGATTTATTTCGCATATGTCCGAAGAACTGTAACTTTCGAGATTTAATGGTGGTCAGTACCTCTCGGTTCTTATTCATTCTTCTGAGGACCTCCTCATTTGTGACTCGGTCAGTCTATGGGATCTTAAGTATTCTCCGATATAGCCACATCTCAAATGCTTCCAGTTTTTTGCAGATATCTTCGTTCAAGGTCCACGATTCAACACCATAAAAAGGACAGAGAAGACGTAGCATCGCAGCATTCTTACTTTTGTATCAAGAAAGAGGTTGTGACTCTTGAAGAAGGCCCCCATCCGATTGAAAGTGAATCTTGCTGTTGCGATGCGTGCTCTAATCTCCTGGTTGTTGGTCCATTCTTCATTTATTATGGTGCCGAGGTAGTTGTAGTGCGTCACTCTTTCTACAGGAGATTGGTTGATGTAGAGTAGACCTTCTGTTATCCTTTACTTGCTAATTATCATAAGCTTTGTCTTCTTAAAGTTTATATTGAGTCTGTATATATTGTTGACTGTAATACGTGATTTTGTTCATAAGAACTTGTAGGTCTTCTAAGTTGTCCGCAACTGGTTGGGGGAAATTTGACTTTCACAGAGCTTGTAGATTCTCTTATGAATTATCTTTAGGAACAATTTTAGGAGATGACTCATGAGGCTTATAGTACGGTAATCTTCGCATTTTTTGGCTCCTGGTTTTTTTGGAAGTGCAATAAACTCAGATTTCAGCCATTTTGTTGGTATTTCTCCAGAGTTGTATATGTTGTTGAATATCTTTGCGATTATTGCTATTGATTCGTTGTTCATTAGTTTGAGTAGTTCTGCTTGTATATTATCAGGGCCTGCCGCTTTGCCATCCTTTAACTGTGTTATTTCGGAATAAACTTCCTGCTGTAATATTCTTGGTCCATCATTTACCTCTTCTTCTAGCTCAAAGGTGTTATCTCTTTGGTCTTCAAAATATGCATAAACAAATACCGTTGCGTTTCGGGATATAAAGACTTTACAAACGTGTGAACTGTAACGTTCGAAACATATTGTTTATTTCTGACCCAAAAGCTAAATCTTGTTTTCATCAAAAGAATACGATCCTACAGTATTACAGTAAAAAGTCTGTCATATTTAATAAAAAATAATTTTAACTAATGACAAAAAAGATTTGTCCGAATTAGATCCATATCTGTGTTACGCTATCGAACCAACCTACTAAGTGGACAAAATAAAAAAAATATTAAAATCGTTTTCCCAGATTGATACAAATATAAGAAGTTTTGTGTAAAACTTAGAGATCGCTGGTTAAATGATTTTAGAATAATAATCGAGAAAAATACAATATGTCGACTGTGAATAAATTAGCGAAAAGAGCAAATATTAATTGTGAATAAATTACGATAATTTGCTGGCTTTACTCATTACTGTTATCTGTACAAAGAATAGACTTACCTTTTGAAATATTGGTATTGGTATGGTATTAGTTATGGTGTGGTATTAGTATTATTGTAGCCAGTGGAATAGAGTTGTATTTGACCGTCGCGGCGCCATCCGCGGCATAAAAAAGGACATACCGGTCAACTGGTTGCATTTCGTTCGCTGTCTCGGTAGAAGGTGTCCGCATTTGTAAGGATAAAAATCTGCACCTACAACTTCTAAGGGGAGGTCAACGGTTCGTGGAGCAAGTACATCCCATAAATCAACTCTATTGTATGGCGCTTTTGAATGACGATAATCTAACTTAATGGTCACAGAAATATGATACTTTACAACGTCTTATATAGTTTGCAAGGAAGTGACCCAATATAACAAAGAGAAGTCGATTCTCTGAACTTAAAAATAGACATGTGTTTAAGAAAGTTTAACAATGAGATTTTACTAAATAGAATAAAATAATATCTTTAAAGCAAATAAGTAGTTTGAGTATACCATTAAATCAGATCACATTATAGTGCAATAATAAATGTAAAAAAATTTAAAATATGAAAATATATATTAAATACTTTCCCAAACAGAAGATATTCTTTAAATATGTTTTACCTAATATATTTCTCTTCATAGTATAAATATGTTGGTTTTCAGAATTTATTTATATTTAAACGATTTGTTTGATATCTACATAGTTATCCAACAATCTTACTATTACTGTAATGACTACCTAACAGTCCTGATCTCAATCCAATTGAGAATTCATAGAATAATATTAAAAGAAAGATGTGAATATGCAATTTATAATAATGGACGCAGTAAATGAAGAATGGGAGAATAATTATTTCTTCGAATACATTTGAATACTTATTGAAGGCGACGGCGTTTGAAATTGATACGAAAAATTGTGAGTAACGGTGGGTCTACAAAATACCAACATCGTCATTAACAATATTGCTTTAAAACACATATACCTATTTTTTATTTAATATTACGTAGCAACAAATATCTTGTTGTTGAATAGTTAATAAAGTTTCTATAAAACTGTAAAGTGATTGCGTAGTTTCTCCGATGCCGTGATTTGCTTGCTAAGCATTAATCGATGATAAAACATAAAACTTCATAATCGCGTTTCGCATCCAGCCATCGGCTTATTTTTAGATCCATGTTTCACCATTTGCCGCAGAATTTCACACGCAAAGGCTTTGATGGAGTGCGACACTCTGATACTGCACTGTGAGCATATCGAGATTTAATTTTTTAATTTTATCAAAAGCGATGGATTTAGTGATGAAGTGTTATTTATACTGTATCCATTTAATTTAATTTAATCTTCTAAAATTGTATTAATAAAATGCGTACTACATGTAAAAAAGCCACTTAAATGATTGTTTTAATGTAAAATGGACTTACTCATCAAAATGATGCTAGAAGACTTGCTGTGAGGCATGGAGCGGTTCGAAGAATCAGCGGACAATATAGATAAACTCGATCCTATCATCATCGACCAGGAACAGGCACAAATCGTTAAGGTGGGTACACATATGCTCCGAATATCGTCTCGAACCCCGTCGGGTACAGCGACGCGATCAACAAAAGTTCGCGACGTTGTTACAGGGGGCATTGAAATAAGTAACGAACCGAACACCGCTCCGTACTTTGTACCAAACATTTTAGCGTTCCAGCAGTAATTGAGTTGAATTCGCATGTGCAAGATGAATGCTGCTGCAGCAGCCTACATTCTTATGTCGATATTCGATAAAAGATTCGCAAGCTAGTCCAAACATGAATTCGCGGTGTACATTGCCGCGCTCAAATTTCTTTTGATGCGTAGGTATTTTACCGACAACCGATGGATCGCTTCGATGTACGTTGTTGACGCGTCGAGGTACGGTACGCGGTTGCATGACTCCGTCCACACTTAAGAACGCGACGGGGTTCGAAACGGCATTCGGAGCATATGTGTACCCACCTTTATACGACCGAATGTGACGACTGCTTGATCAAGGTCATTAAGGAATTGTTACCCTAATATATTTCAAATGCAACAACAACTCCGTCAGCTCAGAGAAGTCAATGTTGGTGAGTTTGCAGTACTCACTCAGGGAAAGAATTCTTCAAAAACGAATGTAATTGGTCCAAAATTTACTACAGTCCAAAAAGAGAAGGTGACAGGCTTGCAGAGTTCTGAATCGA